GTGTGATATTCCAATTTTTTTCATATATCATTTTAAAATAAATGTATTAGTTTAAGGGGGCAGATATTGCCTCATAGCACAGAATATGAAAAGCTTCGGGAGTCAGCTGTCCACAACAGGCTTAAACCAGCCAAGGTACCAGCACAAAAACACTCAGCAAAATATTTAATTATCATAATCAACAAAATCCCAGAAAATATTGAGGTGTATATATATATATTTTTTTTTTTGCTTGTTTTGTTCGCACACCTTACTTTACATGATCAGACTTGTGTTTTTTTGCACACAGATAGCAGACGGGCACTATGAATCTTACCTGCAGTCTCTGATTGAGTTCGGGTCCAAGCACGTGCACAACTGTGACCTTTGCACCCAGAGGGGCTTTATATGTCAGATCTGCAACTCTGACAACATCATCTTCCCTTTTCAGTTTGACAGCACCTCCAGGTATTTTCATATAACACACATTATACCTCAAATATATAAACGGGGTTGCCAGGTCCCAGAAAAATACTTACTCAACATAAATGAAAACTAGCCTAATTCTTTTCTACGTCCAATCAGTTTTTATTTAGATGATTTTAGCTTGACTAGTGCATACAATAAAGTTTCAGGAGTGACATCTAACCGAAACTGTGACGATTGCAGTATTTTTGCAGTGTTGCCATGTCCACATATTATAAGCGTTTTGTTGTTTGTTGTTGAAGCTTCACTCATAGAGTGATCAAGTATTTATTAAAGTGGGCAGTTGCAGGTTGGGATATTTTGGTCTTATTTTCAGCTTAAAGCATTTGGATTTTTTTCGGTTTATTCTTGTTTGCTTTTTATTTCAAGCAAAATCTAGCAACACGAATGAGTCAAGGCTTGTAGGCTACCTCTTTTCCTGTGATTTCTTGCATCAAACAAGGTACAGAAGAGAGACAAAACTCTGATGTGAGTTTTTATACGTCATTAACAACTAGTTGGTCAGTTCGGATCCGTACACACTGTAGAATTTTTGTAAATGCGGTTGTCACTACCTTAATATTTCAGGAGTTAATTTGGTTGTAGAATGTGGCTCTCACTCCCATAAATTACTGTGTACAGAACAGGGTGAAGTGGTTTAATAAAGGGGGTTTTGTTCTTTTTTTTTGCCCATTTTGCGACATTTCTCAGCCGCCACAGAGTTAAATTCTTTAAAGTGGACATACGGCCTTGAAATATGATGCACTTCCCTGACGAAAGCCACATTTTAAGCGCTTTTTACTGTATCAGCCTTTTTAAACGGACTCAAGGCTGTAATATTAGAGGTATACAATACTGCCCTATGGAAAGCCAAATTTAGAGCAAGTAGATCTTTATTAAATCATGCGCATCCATACTCTCGTCTTCTTCATAGTGAAATGGTAGTGACGCTCAAAGGAAATATGTTATAGACCGTATAGATAAAACGGAAATTGTAGCGCGTGGGCACACACGCAAACATGAAAAGTTTCTCATCAGCGCGCAAAAGTCTGATATTTGTTATTTTTGCAAAGGTCTCTTTAGGGGCTCTGTAATTTTCTAAATAGCCCAAATGCGCTAGAAAAGCACAGCCCTGGCAACACTGAATATAAAACACCACACATCTACTTTCACTTGTACACCATTCACACACTGTTGTGCTGCATGTGACTGATTCATATGACATTCATATGACTCCAACAGGGAGCAAAAGTGTCGGCACGGCAATCTCAAAAAAAATGGTGTAAAAGTTAAAGTAGATGCGTGTACTTTCACTTTTACACCTTTTTTTTTTTTCAGATTGCTGTGCCGACACTTTTCATCATGAAAATGATGTGTTTTCTGTCTCTCAGGTGTAGTGTCTGCAAGACGGTGTTTCATTCCTCCTGTAAGGCCAAGTGTCCGGTCTGTCCACGCTGCGTTCGAATGCAAAAGTATTTGGAGAGGGACTTGGAGGACTGATTTAGCTGTTTGTTAAAAACATGAAGGTTTCTAAGAAAATGGTCATGAGCCAAGTTCTCTGTTGCTGTCGTGTCTACAGAGCTCAAAATCCAGGGTTAGTACCATATTATTGTAAAGTTATCTTATTTTTCTCAGTTAGCTGACCAACTGGAAGCGCTTGATCTGTATTTCACACTAAGAGTTTATTGGACTCGCCTTAAGTGCACTTATTTACACATACATATGTACATATTTACTCACATTAGAACACCCATGTATGTTCATTCCTGAGATGTCAACAATGCCAAACAAACAATGGTGGAAGAACTGTTATTAAAGCTATGATTTTTGCTTTTTAACTTTATAAACACACCAACATTCAACGGTTAATCTATTTTTCTGGCCTTCACATGTTATTCTGCATGTTTGTGTTTGGAATCATAAATCTTAGTTCTCTCTTTTTTTTTTTTTTTTTTTTTGGTGTAGTCATTATTGAGTTAGGGTTAGGGTCCAGCTAATAAAATCATATTTATGAAACTTAAGACAATTAAATGCCAAGGATCTTAAAGCTCTTGTTTTTAATATTTTCTTGTTTTTTTTTACTATTGTTTTACATCTGAATGTCACATGCCAAGTTTTATATGAAGCATTGCGAGTTTACAAAACATTGTGTGCATTAATAAATATATTCTTGTATATGCAGGAATTGTACGCACCTATTAAAGAAGGTGGTTAATGAAGTTATGAAACGTACTAACACTTACAACCTCCTTTAACGGGTCATTTTTTGTACTATGCTGTGCCTTTATTTTCAGTTTTCGTTGTAGCATTCATTATCACTAAAATGGATTGTTCCAAAAATGTAACTATTATAAGCCAATGTGAATTATTAATGTATGCCACAAAATCAGAAAGTCTCTGTGGATGATAAAAAGGATCAACTCTTTTTATTTATTTGATTCTTGGTTTAATGAATGTCTATTTTTAATAATTGATTTGCCTATGAAGCTTGACTGCTGCCTCATAAGCAATTGTTTTAAATTGGAAACTGAATGAGAGATTACATTTTTCTTTTTGAGTTATTTTTGTTTTGTACTTTTTTTTTTTTTAACAATGCTGTTTTTCCTGATATTTTTATGACAAGTTCATTACATCACCTGTTAAAGGAAAAACTCCCAGATGACGTTCTGTCTTTCTTATCTTCTGTTTTTCCACTCGGGGCAGTGTCACCTAAGCAAAAGTCTCTCAACATAAATTGGCAGGCAGATACTCTTTTTACAGTCATGAATACTGAAGCTTTTGTTTTGATCTAAATTTGATGTTAACTCCTTTTCTTTTATTATTAATAATTCTTTCAGATTAAATGTTTTTATCCTCATAGTAATGTGCATTTAGTTGTTTAGCAGACACTTTTAACTGAAGTGTTTATAAATATTTACAGTACACATAACTACCTGGACATTTTGCCTGTGCTCCTGGGTGTTTTAAGCTGCTCTCTGATCTCGTACTGTCTAGTACAGGTGTATGTTCGTGCCAATGTAACTTAAAGAAACAGCATTTCCTAGAATCATCAGCTATAGAAAGATAGATACATATTTTTGTCTAACTTGTAAACCACATCGCGCTGCATTTGTGTCTGACTGGATCTTCCTGTTTTCTTACCTCCTGGCACTCTTTTTCTGTCTGTGTTTGTTTGTTTGTTTGTTTCTTTCCATCCATCATCTGTATACACCAGTCTATACCAAACAAACTCCATCTAAAAATGTGGTTGTAAGCATATTAGAATCTTGAAATGAGTGCAACTTGTGTAACTAAACCTGGATCAGAGTTTGAATAAATTATTTTTACTTTAGATATAAAAACTTTTTTATGCACTGGTCAATTTTGAACGATTTTGCTTCCATGACATGTCTTTTTTCAGATTAGAAAGTATCCTAAATGCATATTTAAGTGTTTATTTTATTACACTTTATCTGTTTACATCTGCATGGATTTCAATTACAATTTTTTCTAATTCAAATACACGATCAGTACTTTTTCCAAAGTGTTTTGTCTTACCCTGATTCACTTTGGTAAGCCTATTAGTTTATATTTTACACCGTGCGAGATGGTTTTCACATTATGACTTATGTGTAACTTACATAGGTCGCCCACGTGCGGGTGATATCCGTAAAACATATATACATATATACATTAAATAATAACTGAGGCTTTTCGGGGATGGGCGATGGCTTTTTTAAATAAAAGCATCGCAGAGAATGCTTTTTTTTTATTACACAGGTGAGGTGAGAAAAGTATTTTATTGAACCGATATATTGTCACGTAGCTCGAGTTCATCGTTAAAGGAGCTGAATGTAAGATTGTGGCCAAAACTGGTACTGCAATCACTTTCAAATTACTGTAGAGCGGTGTATCCCCTCCCCCTCCTCCCTGATTTGAGGTTGCCAGATAGGCTGCAGGATCCAGCAGGAACGTAGTCTGCTCCAAGAAGTGGTAACTAGAGCACAGCTGGCAACCCGGATCCCGCAACACTACTGACTTCGTGATTGGTAGATAGGTGGAGGGTGGAGCATCAGACCAAAACACAACATGACAACATCAACATCAGTTGAGGGCTGCAACTTCACTTTTTAAATGACAATATCCTGGCCGGACTACTGTTGTCAGTGATATAAGTATTTGAAATGAACATGATTTCTTAATGTCTAGTGACATATCAGGGCCATTTCATGATTAATTGAAATAAATTTCTTACATACAGCTCCTTTAAGCATTCTCCATTGTGAAGGGTCATATATTCATCCGCAGTCACGCAGAGCCGAAGCACAACCAAAACAGTGTTCTTCCACAAAATGCATGCAGTTTTGTTTTGTAATCGCCAGAGGGCTGTTAGTTAAAGGCCATGAGTTTTTATTTTTATTTTTTATAGAAATCTCCACTTTAGCAGCATTACATACACCAAACTTTCCCGTTTTATGCCTAAGGTTTTTACAGATTTTGTTAACATATAGGCCTATCATTCACCTGATTTTCCTATAAACATGGTATGACAGTATTTTCTGATTTATGGAGTGAAAATGCCAGATATCCAAAGTACCCTCTGTAAAAAAAAAAAAAAAAAAAAAAAAACTTTGTCAACAAAATGAACCAAGAATTGTGAGCCTGGCTTTATCCAGATTTCTATTCTAGAAATGTATTTAAATTACTGCATTCTTAATTAAATAATGCCTCGTTTGAATATTTTTTTTTTAAAGCATTTCAGAAAAAACCTAAATGTTCTTTAATTAATTAACGGTGATAGTAGGCCTAGTTTGGATATGTGGTTGTCTTTTTCTCGATGAACCTATTCTACCTCAACCGCTCCCCCTTTGATACAGTATTCAAAAGGTGTAATGCCGTTGTTGACCCTGCATGTTATCAGCACAGAGTGAAAGAAAACAAACGAGAGAATAGCATCATTGGCTGATGTGAACCTTAAAACCTTGATAAAGGTTCCTTAAAGTCTGAGCATTCCTGCCAACACCCACGTTTGAAGTCTGTGGAATCCAAATATGACTCGGAAATATGAGTCATAATGCCTAAAAGGACTTTAATGAAACACAAAGTACATCCCTTCAGTTTATATTCACGCCTCCGTTGCCATGTCAATGTTTAAAAACACATTAGCACTGGCAAGTTCTCTTCAACGTTTCTCTTTTTTTATTTCCTGCTTCCTCATTTCTCAGTTTTTCCATCTTTTGACAATTGTTCCTTCACTTGGTGACTGTAAAAGCACTGGTGGTTTTAATAAGCAGTTTTGTTGTAAATCACTCACTATATGGATCAGTGTTTGTCGACTCACACACACCCTCTTCTCGCTTCACTCAGCCACGCTCAAACCCGTCTAGCAACACAAATCTAGGCACATTTCTTTCTCACCCTGACACAACAGCACTACAGGTCTAAAGTATGGGGCTGACACATCCTGGATTAATCGAGGGAGAGACATAGCTGACAGTTCATTTCTAATGTGAATTCTCCAGTTATCCCAGAGCTCACCGAAGAAGGAGTCGAGGGATTATTCTGCTTTCCAATGGTAAGTTACTTTTATCTGTATTTCATTCACCCAGAATACCTCATTAACTGTGAGGTAACCTCATTAATCTACTCACTAACAGATTCTAAGCGCAGTGAACTTACATTCACTGCGCTTAGAATCTGTGCATGTCGTTTTGTAATGAACAGTTGTCAACATTATTTCCTGCAATCTGTATGTTCCTGCAGTAATGCAGTGCATGTTCTTCAGAGACTGATAATAATAGTTGTAGGCTACTTTCCCAATCATGTACCAAAAGGAAAGTTTTGTTTTGCTTTGATTGTTATGCTGTGCTTTATTTATAAAACAGAATTTGATTTAAAATATGTTAGAATGTCAGCAAAAGATTAAAATGATTCAAATGTAATTAACAGCTCATAATTGTTTGTATATTAATCTCACTAAAGGCCTAGCTGTGTGTTTATATACAAACGTGTGTGTGTATATACTGTAAATATATCAACTGTATACACATACATATGTGCACATGTGTACATTTTATATGGAAGAATTCATAATTGTTCAGCAGTCTGAACACTGTCTAACCTGAATGTTTTCATGAGTGGTTCGGATGCATTCTTCTTGACACGAGGCGTTGACTGCCTGTAGTTCCACGGAGGCACAGCAGATGAAAACACACGCGCATGTCTTTGTCAGTAGCTGTTGGTGTGGCAGTTTTATAATTAAAATAAGTTGTTAGTTAATCAGTCATCACAGAAACATCAAATCTGCTTGAGCTATTATGTCATTAGTATTTTGCAACAACCACAATGAAACCGAGATTGCAGTTTGCACATAGCATGATGTATGTTTTCCTGTTTTACGAGTTAATGTTTCCCCTATTTTGGCATGTCTTCTTCTGTGTAGGTTTGGGGTTAGTGCAGCGTTCCTCTGCAAAATACACTCGCTTCCTGTAGCAAGTGCTGTGCAGAACAGCTATCTGCCTCTCTAAATGTTTATGCTTTTAGCATAGCTGTTTCCCTCTAGGTAGTAATGGGGAACTAATCATAATTTAACTTAATATTCAAATTTATAACAAAATACTGCCTTTTGATAGTATTAGCTGCACTACAAATTACAAACCAAAAGTAAAAACGACTGCAAAAAAACAAAGAGAGCAATATCTTTGTATATTAATGATTCATTGGTTCATTTGTCATGAGTCTGCTTTTTTGTCCATATAAGGGTAGCCTAACCAAAATGGTTTGGTTGCCAACGAAATATTCTTCAAAATAGCTTATTTTGTGTTTCACAGAAGAGAGAAAGTCATACAGGTTTGGAACAACATGAGGGTGAGTAAATGATGACAGAATTGAATGGCAGTAATTTTACGTCATCCTGAAAATCAGTGCTTTTCAACATGACAAAGATGCAATATTAGCCTCCGGTTTTAAAGACTAGTCTAGACTAAAATGGATGTTTGAGCTGGTTTAACTGAAAAGCAACTTTCACTGGCATATCTTCAAATACCTCACTGCCAGTGTTTTGTCTCAAGATGCACATCAATAATGTTTTTTTTTTCTAAGGCTCGTTTATAAAAGCTACTTTATGTCCTAATTAAACTAAGGCCTAATCCTGGCTTAATCTAAGGCCTATGTTTGTTAACTGCATTTGCAGTAAATTTATCATTATTTGTTCCTGTCCTGTTTTATATGATCATTTATTCACGGGGGAACTCATGCCCCAGTCCAGCCCTGAGTGTCACTACTATTATCTACCCCTTCTTCTACTCTTTTTCTCTCTCTCTCTCTCTCTCTCTCTCTCTCTCTCTCTCTCTCTCTCTCTCTTCTCTCTCTCACTCTTCTCTCTCTCTCTCTCTCTCTCTCTCTCTCTCTCTCTCTCTCTCTCTCTCTCTCTCTCTCTCTCTCTCTCTTCATACCTGCATCTTTCATCACTCGTTGTCTGCTCTCTTATAATGCATTGGACATAATCTTCAGTTAAATGTTCAGTTTTAGGCTCTGCTGTCAGGTTTCTCTCATCTCTCACTCGGACACACCTGTTGTTCCCCTGGTTTATCTGCATTCCTCTGCTTCACACATATCTTGTTCCACCCCATCACAAAAGCCCTAGTTGCCATAAACAAACCCTCTGTAATGCTCTAAAAGAAGTGAACCCTCTGTAATGCCTATGTGCAGCTATTAGTGACACTGATTACATTTACAGTACCTATACATATTCTCTTTGGCTAATAATTATTTTTAGGAATTGTACATTTTAATGATGCTATAGGGTGTTCTGGGTGGTTGCTGTTACTTACTGTCCCAAGATAAAAGAGCACCTAAAGTTTTGGCTTTTTCGTTTTGCATTCATTACATAATCTTGTCCCAAGTAAATCTGTAAGTAAAGTTTTGTGTTTTGTATTTTGTAATAATCTTGAGCCTATTAGGTCTGTACTTCAAAATGTATTATGTTTTTTGTTTTGTCTTTGTATTTTGTTATATTCTTGTTCCTAGTCAATCTGTGAAAGTTTTTGTTTTGCGTTTTAAATTTTATATATATATATATATATATATTTGTTCCTAGTAAATCTATTAGTTAAGTTTTGTTTTGTGTTTTTGTTTTTCATATTCGTGTCCTTAGTAAATGTATACGTTAAGTTTAGGGTTTTTTTTGTTTAGATTTGTTTTTGTATTTATGTTCCTTGTAAATCTTTTGTGCTTTTTAAATTGTATTATTATTTTTTACTTCCTAGTAAATCTATTAGCAAAGTTTTGTTTTGTGTTTTGATTTTTTTTATATTCTTGTCCGTAGTAAAGTTTTGCTTTGTGTTTTGTTTAGCTTTTTTATATATTCTTGTTCCTTGTAAATCTGTAAGTAAATTTTGTTTTGCTTTTTTTTTATTTTTTGTTTTGATTTGTTTTTCATATTCTTGTCCTAAGTAAATGTATATGTTTGTTTGAGCTTCAGATCTGAATTATTTCAAACAAATTACCTATTGGTTTTTTTTCCTCCTTTATTTTCAGATCTCATGATGATTATATATGAGCCTTGATTTCCTGTTTGCACCGAACACCAGCCACTTAACAGGTTTGGGATCAGCAGACGTGGGCCACTATGTCACTTTCACAGCAGGTTCGGGTGAAATTTGAATACAATTACACTGCTCGAGATGGCAGAGAGGTGTCCATCAAACCCAACGAGCACTACAACCCTGGTAGCCAAGACCAATGAAACCTGGTGGCACGTTCGGAAGGCACGAGACGGACAAGCCTTTTTCATTCCAGCTATGTACGTGACCGAGCTCCCACCTGAAACAAACCAAACTCCACTGGACCCTCCAGAAGAGTTTAGTGGATTGAAACCCCTCGAGCCCAGCTCCGAGACAGCTCCTGACAGTCTTCCCGCCAACATTAAACCTGCTGAGGTCACGCTTTCGAGTCCCTGACTCCATAAAACGAGACTCCGAGAAAGACGGCCATAGAATATCAACATATATTATTCCAAAGGAATTCTTTGAACTGAAGGGTTTGGATCCAGACCCCTTAAAGGTTAAAGCAGAGGCCGGTCCTGTGCCTGAACTCCAGTTTTATGACAATGTTTCTTTCAACCCTGGTTCTCCATCTAATGGGCAAACACCACCCTCTATCTTATTGACATCTGCTTTTACAGATACCACCTCAGAATTGAGATCAAATCAATTGAGAGTCCAAAAGAGTCAATAGAGAGTCCTCGGGTGGACTCAAAGTCCCTGGACCAAGATATTCAAATGCTCATTAGAGCTGGCTGGAGTAAAGACATTTGGAACCTCATGGATAAAGACAAGAATGTGTATGAGAGTATAAATATGGTGAGAGAACCAGAATCCTCCAAACCTGATGATAATATGACAGTAAAGACACAGAGTTCCCCGGTCCCAAGCCCTGTTACACCAGATGAGCCTCTGGTAAGTAATACTTCTTCATGTGCAAAGTGAAGCTGCATTAGCCTACATAAGACAGCAATTTCTGTGTGTAGCAAAACAATTTTCTATTTTATTCCATCCTCCAAATATGTTTGTAACAACATCAATGTTGCTCAGTGACAAAGGCTAGGTATAGCCTATTCATTCATTATAAATGTCTGTGAATTTAAGTGCTGACCCAGTGTACTTCAGTATACTCATCTCATCGGAGTGATTTAGCTGCTTTTCTTGAACACATGGGGGCGCTGTATACAAATTAGCATCTGAGGCTACAAAAGCGAAACCAAAGGGAAGTGCTGATGTCTCAGGTGTCAACATCTTTATCAAATGATAATGAAGCAATAATAAAACCTTTAGCTGTCCTTAGAATGTGGTGTAGAAGTGAAAGCATTACATGAACAATTGATTGATTAGAACTTTCATTTTTTGAATTTATAAGGCCTCTAAATTACCAAAATGATCAAAACTTTGCTAAGAAAACTGTTTTACAAAATATAGTAGGCCTACATGTCATCTGATTGATATTTAATCTGATTGAATCTTTGATCATAAAACAGCCTTTAAATATCATCTACTAACACATATTATTGGAACATGTAGAGTGGCAACTGATATTTATATGCATTTTATGTAAATAGTCTGTTATACTGTCATAAAAGTCTCATTGATTTACATTACAAGCTCTCAGATTTTCATCATCCTTTTTGGAGATATAGACAAAAGAACAAAGTTTGCACCAAATTGCATATTTTTTACCCTGAGTAAAAAGTATTTTTTCCTGTTTGAGTGTGAGCTCCATATTCTCACCATATGGGTCATAAAGTCTGATAAAACACAAAACACATGTAAAAAAAATTGATAGGCTATATATTTAAAGAAAAAAAACGTATGTCTAAAGGTTCAGTAAATTGTTCCATATTTTAAAACTACTTCTGACTATTATTTCGTATGTCAAGCTTTGCAGGGTTAATATTTTTTTTACAGTAGGCATGTAACTGGTGCTCTGTCTGTCTCTGACTCGTGTAGAAGTGGATTTTGCTGAGATTTAATTTTAGAAAATAATGCGCTAAAAGCTTATCAAGCTCTTACCTCCCTATCTTAAAAAAGCATATACTAAACGTACGTTTTGTGGTATAGACCTACCTAAGATATGTAAACATATGTAAATAACCAATAAAATTCAGTTTCGACTGTTCCTTCCCGTGCCGATCCTGAAATAAGTAGGCCTACGTTTGAAACTTTTCCTTATGTAATGTTAACTATGTGAAATTAAAGGTTGTTTAGAAAAAATTTAGATTTAGAAAAAAAGAAAGAAAATGTAACTGTGAAGAGTCAAGCAACTCCTCGTAACATGCGTCCTAATATTGACACAAAATGCTGATATAGGCTAACGGTAGCTGTTATATTTCTGTACCCGGATTGTGTTTATTAGCAACGTTTCGACCCTCTTCAAATGCCCAGTCAGACTCAATTTCTGGAGCTCCCTGCCAAGTGATCTGCATGTCAATGGTTTGCTTGTCTCTTTGTGTGTACGGCCGCTGCCCCTCACCGGCACCGAACCGGCTTCTCCATCCGTTTCATCTTCCACACCGGTAAACAAGACGCGACGCGGTGCGTATGGAAAACTTTTATTTGTCTAGTAGAGTTGGTACCGAGTTTATCATTAATTACCTAGTTATAAAGGCCAATTTATACTTCTGCGTCGAGGTGCGCGCCGTAGTGTACGGACGTAGCTACGCACTAGCACGCCGTCACCATTATACGCTGCGTTTAGGTCTGCGTTGCTCTGCTCCCGACCTTGCCGAGTTCCACTTTCCTCCAAAATGTAATCCCCTTTACTACAACAAGTGCCGACTGAAAGAGACGCAGATCATGTGATTGAGTTCGGCTTGAGGTAGCATCGCGTTTCCTTCTATGCATTTCCGGCGTGTTCTTCTGCACCGCCCGCCATTTTTAAATTCTACGTACAGCGAAACTGTTAAAAAAACTAAAATTTACCTTTTCTGTACTTAGAATTTAAAAATGGCGGGCGGTGCAGAAGAACACGCCGGAAATGCATAGAAGGAAACGCGATGCTACCAAGCCGACCAATCACAGATCTTGCGGTCTGCGTCGTCGCGACGTGTAGTTACATTTTTGAGGAGGTGCGCGTCAGGTTACGGCGAAGGGTACGGCGTATGGTACGCGTCTGTGCGTATGCTACGCCGTACCTACTGCGCGCACCCGACGCAGAAGTATAAATTGGCCTTAAGGGAGTCGAAACGTGACGCATGCTCTCGAAGTAACGTTATAAGCCTAATTTGACTTTGTAGGGGGAAGGGGTTTTCAACCATTCTATCAGAGTCAAATGAAGAGCACAACAGGTTAGGTGAGTTGCTGCCAAGTGCCCTTATGAGTGTGAGTGGCACTGTAGGGAGGTACCAGGCGTTTACTACAACCACTCCCACAAACACACCTGTTTCCTTGCGGAGTGACGGATAAAGCACGTCAGTGTTAAAAAGATGGATTCTAAACATCAGTTTTGCTGCCGGTTGGAATATTTTTTCAGCTTCTTGTAACGGGAAGGTTTCACCTGTGCAGACACATAAGGTATGACAGAATAATCCTGCGCTTCCGGTTGATGCGGTGAGGAATCTGAGGTGGTTTGACGGACAACACTATCGCGTGTGTCAGGCTACAACACAGAATGAGACGCTACAGACAAAAACACTTTTCATGTATGTTATTTTGAGATTTTAGGCTTTTGACTTATAAAGTGTTGTTTCAAACTAGTGGAAATAAAACACCCAAAAATACACTTTTAAGTGCTTTTATTGCACTTCATGTTGGCTATTTGCAGATTTCATTTAGCCTACAATGCAAACCTTAAAAGGCCCGTTTTCTCAAATTGTGTTCCCTTATCGAGTCGGTCTCTCGACATTACGTATGGGGAAATCCATTTTCCTCGAATCATGAAGTCTGATAGAATAACTCTTTTGCTTGCAAATAGCCAATGGCGGTCCCGCCATCACCTGATTGGCTGACACTGCTCAATATAGGTGACGGCGGGCGCCAAAAACCTCAGAATCTTTTTTCTTCACTCGAGTCTGTTTTCACCGTTGATGTACGCATTCAGAGCGGAGTATATTAAGGAGTTTTAATTCCCCTCTCGCGTTCCGGTGGATTATATTATGTCTCTTTGTCGCCCGTGTGGTGGACCCATTGAATCCCCGGACGCACACAACTTGTGTGCTGTGCCTGGGTCGGGACCACGCAGAGACGGCACTCGAGGGATCGGGATGTCCCGCCTGTGAGGAGCTTCCCATCAGATCCTTCGTGCAAGGCTGGCCGTTACACGTAGCGACGACCTTGTGTCTCCTGCCTCTCCCCAGTCTGCCGCCTTCGAGCCGCGGACCGGGAGACGGCAGAGATCTCCATTCGCGGGTTCTGTTGAGGCGCTGACGTCGGCCCAAGGTCCACGCCATCCTCACGTGGCAGAGCCCGTGAGTTACTCTTGAGGCCATTTACCGCCCTCTTGAGGAAGCACGGGAATTATCTCGTTCGGTTACGACGATGACGACGCCAATGGTCCGAGTCTCCGTCTGAAGGCGCCCTCGCCTCTTTGGATGCGGAGCTTATGGCCATTCTCACTGAGGCGGTGGCAGATATGGTGCTGGAGTGGACAGCGCCCAAGGAGCTGCCGTCGGAAAGGTGGCCTCGGCGCGGGCCGTAAAGCTGAAGCGAGAGGCAGTTCAGGAAGTCGCAAAAAAAAAAAAAAAAAAAAAAAACAGCGCTCCTGATGTGCGTGTCAGGGAGGAAAGAGCGCGGGACGTGTTCGTCGGACCGGTGCGAAGAGGGCGTGTTCCCGCCCAGAGTTCGACGAGAATGTGTTGTTTCTGAAACCGCTGTGTTCTGTTTCAATAACAAGGTACATTACAAGTCTCAGCAAAAGAGCTTCTCTCCCCAACATTATTACCCGCCTCATAGACGGGAGACGCATCGCAGAGCGGAAGCTCGGGGAAACCCGAGGAGATGGCTATCTATGTCCCCGTGCATGATGCCGCGGACGAGCTATACCATTTCATATAGCAGTCAATGCTTTCCCGGTGGCTGGCGCCCAGCCCCCGCCGCAGCATTCATTGCCCTGTATGGCGATTCTGATTACTACACAGTGTGTATTCACAGTTGTTGCGCGATGCAACTGACGCTGTGTTACGTACTCACCACACTGTTATGTGTAAGGATTTATGCCATTATATATTGCCCTGTGTCCTTCAGTGCAATGGCTATGCTGATTACTACAAGTACGTGTTCACAGTTGTTGCGCGATGTAACTGACGCTGCGTTACGTACTCACTACACACTGTTGTGTGTAATGATTTATGCCATATATTGCCCTGTGTCCTTCAGTGCAATGGCTATGCTGATTACTACAAGTACGTGTTCACAGTTGTTGCGCGATGCAACTGACGCTGTGTTACGTACTCACTACACACTGATATGTGTAAGGATTTATGCCATTATATATTGCCCTGTGTCCTTCAGTGCAATGGCTATGCTGATTACTACAAGTACGTGTTCACAGTTGTTGCGCGATGTAACTGACGCTGCGTTACGTACTCACTACACACTGTTGTGTGTAATGATTTATGCCATATATTGCCCTGTGTCCTTCAGTGCAATGGCTATTCTGGTTACTACGCAGTACGTATTCACACTTGTTGCGCGATGCAACTGACACTGCGTTTATGTACACACTGCACACTAGGGGGGGGGTAGAGACGAGTGAGATTTGTTGACGGGGGGGGGGGGGGGGGGGGGTCTCGCTCGCGCAAGGTCTCTCGCTCGCGCAAGGTCTCTCGCTCGCTCTACGCGGTTTGGAGCACAATCTCTGTCTCGCATGCACGCTCGCTCTAGATAACGGGAGATTTTTAACGAATTTGCGGTATAACTAGTCGATCACGAGTGGCTCAACAGGTAGATATATAGATAAAATCATCTTC